AACTGCAGCTTCAGAGCTGAATTCAGAAATGGACTTAGGGACCATAGTTGGAAGTGCTTCCTTGCAGTCACAGAATACAAACCTCTGTGTTAGGTTTCCAGCCTCTCTTTTCACGGCACGAGGAGTCATGTACCTTAGGATGAAATTACAGTCTTAGGAGAAAGTTCAGGCTTAGCTAGTGCTAGGGCTTAGGCACTTCTGTCTGCATAGGAGTTACAGTGTGTAATCCCTATGCCCTGCAGCACCTGAGTATCTCAAGTGAAGGTATCTCAAGTGAATCAGTTTGCTTTGCAAACAGAAAAATAGGATGCAGTATGAAAGCTGCCATCTTTTTATCCAGAAGCGCAATGTTAACACTCAGACAAGGCTATATAAGAGGCAGGGGAAGGAGAATTGTGTTTTGATACTTCCTAGTGGGAAAAAAAAATAAAAATACTGCATTCATAGTCCTTAAGGCTTTCACTAAACCTGAGAGAGAGAAACCTGGAGGGGGAAGCATAACAGGAAAGCTTATGGGCAAGTGGAAAGAAGTTAGATAGATAGATAGAAGTTCTGGGTTGCAGTTTCTGTTCCATTAATTGTGTCACAGTATGTACCTTCTGCTAATCTCATGTGGATCATCTGGCAAATATTGCCAGTGTCGGGTTCCATTATAAATGCACAAGTTGAAAGACTAAATGAATGATGAGAGATGCAATCAAAAGAAGTACAATATACTAAGGGTTGCATCATTTTCCTGAGCTGTCTGCTTTAGAGGTCTGTGCAGGTGGCGCCTGATGAGTAGTGAAAGAACAGTTCTGAAGAGATTCCATCTGGAAGCAGAAAGAATCATTGAAGCAGCACCTGCCTCCTTTTCAGTCTGCTGGCTCATCCACGTAGCCACAGGAGTGAGACAGATGATAAGTCTTCTGAGTTTAAGATGTAGTTTGTATACGTACAAAAGTAATTCAAGATTTCTGTTCCTAGAAAGGTCTCATGAGAAGTGAACTCTCCATTTAGGTACCACTGAGGTGAATATTCACCTGCTAATACCTTGTGAAACAGATAATAGCAGAGCTGCATAATTTGCATATGCTGATCAATAAAGATTTTTTTCTAAACTAACAATGAGAACTTCAGTTACAAAGATGATCAAACTTTGAATAATCCTTTGATTGTGAAAGCTCTAGCAGAACCATGATAATATAATGAATGGATTACACTCAGGTAGTAAATGACTGAAAGTTTTCATAAAAAGTAAAGGTAATGATTAATGTACTGATACTTCCACAGATCACTCGGTTCCATTTTATGTTGCTATTTTCTTTGATTAGTCTTCTGAAGGACTGTGCGTCAGATTTTTTCTCCATAAACAAGCTCTTGAAATGCTTGTTTTAATATTTTTTTAATATTTTCAAAAAGTCATTCACTGAAGTACTGTATCATTGGAATGAAGCAGTAAAAAATCCACTACATTTTAATTGTGTAACTTCTTTGCTTTTACATTTGCATTTCAATGTTAAAGCCCATTATGTTAATACCTCCAAGTAATCATTTTTGTGATTTTTTTCATTACAACTTTACTTGCAAATTGTTTTCTTAAACTTGCATTTTACTGGTAGAGGAAAGTGTGCACTTTTATGGCACTAGCTATCTGTTTGCCGTGTAACAGCTTCTGAATGAGACATCCAATCAGAAAAAAAAAATCCAGAAAATCTTCACTGTACAGAACGTGTATGATTTTTAGTAAAATCAAAAGGAGGAGATGAAGGAAATGCATTACTTAGGATGTATGATCAGTGAGGCAGTAGTTTTAATCAAGCATTTTGCCCATAGGAGAAAGATCACTTGATGTTGAAGATCCCTTTCAACCCAAACTGTTCTATGATTCTATGTTGGTAGGGCATTTCTTCACAAGAGGAACAGGAATGGCAAAGTATGGATCCCATCACAGCATGATGACATGGTACAGGAATTCGGGGCTGACAGAAGTTGCATGCTAGAAGTCTGGGTGAACAGAGGCATTCAGAGAGTCTCTAGAAGTGCACACTGAGCACAGCTTACAGGAGCAATGGTCTGTGTGATTTTGTGATGTTGTACGTAAGAAAAGAAAAACAGAACTCACCATAGCAATGACACCCACCCAGACACACACACTTTTTTTTTCTCTGCTGAACTCATGTCAGTCAAAAAACATGGAGGATACTAATGAGTAGCCACCTTCCCAGCAAGTGCAGCATAAATCTTCTGTACTTGTTTCATTCAGACCATCTCTGGATTATCTGCTGAATAGTTTCCTCCTTGCAAAAAGAGGGAGCCATTAGTCAGTACAAGCCTCCACCTTCCGTAGGAGTTTACTGGTTGTGTGCTCTGAGATCCACATACAAGAAAGGTATAGACCATTAGAATGGGTCCAGAGGAGGGACACAAAAAATTATCAGAGGAATCATAGAATAGTTAGGGTTGGAAAGAACCTTGAGATTATCTAGTTCCAACCTCCCTGCCATGAGCAGGGACACCACACAGTAAACTATGTCGCCCAAGGCTCTGCCCAGCCTGGCCTTGAACACTGCCAGGATTGGAGCATTTACAACTGCCTTGGGCAACCTATTCCAGTGCCTCACCACCCTCACTGTGAAGAACTTCTTCCTTATATGTAACCTAAACTTCCCCTGTTTAAGTTTAAAGCCATTACCCCTTGTCGTACCACTAGAGTCCCTAATGAAGAGTCCCTCTCCAGCATCCCAGCAGAATGGAACACCTCTGCTATGAAGACAGGCCGAGAGAGTTGGGGTTGTTCAGATTGGAGAAGAAAAGGCTCTGGGGAGACCTTAGTGCAGCCTTTCAGTATTTAAAGTTGACTACAAGAAAGGCAGAGAGAGTCTTTTTGCCAGGGCCTCTAGTGACAGGACAAAGGGCAATTATTTTAAACTGATAGAGGGTAGATTCAGGTTAGGTACAAGGAAGAAATTACTTATTGTGAGGGTGGTGAGACCCTGAAACAGATAACCCAGAGAAGCTGTGGTGGTTCAAGGTCAAGTTGGATGGGGCTTTGAGCAACCTTATCTAGAGAAAGATGTCCTTGCCTATGGTAGGGGTGTAGGTCTAGATTATCTTTAAAAGTCCCTTCTAATGCAAACCATTCTAGGATTTGATGAACTATTTGCACACAGCAAGTTTTTCTCTATCTTAGAATTACAGGCTGATTTAGGTTGGAAAGGTGTTCTTGAGATTCTCTCCTCCAACCCCCTGCTCAGGCAGGTTCAGCTACTGTGGGTTTCCCAGGACCGTGTCCAGTTGTGTTTTGATTGCCTCCACTGGTGAAGACTCTCAAATCATTCTGGGTAACCTGTTGCGGTGTTTGACCACCCTCATGATCAGAATTAATTTCCTGGTTTCTGATTTGTGCCCATTGTCTCTTGCCTGTCTCTAAGCACCACTCGCTGAGAAGAGTCTGGCTCCCTTTGATCATTCCCTGCCATTAGGTATTTATACACATTGCAAAGATCCTATTTTACACCAGGAGGTGCTGGTAATGATTCCATTGGGAAAAGCACTCACAGTCTGGAAGGTATAATTTAAAATACTGTCTGTTACAGCTAACGCTGTAAGGAGAGAGTAGTGTAGACAATTTGCACCCCTTTAGACAGTGGGAGCCCCAGGTGGCATAGCACTGAATGGGCCACTAATCCACATGCAGGATGCTGGACAATCCCTGCCTGTAGCAGAGGTTCTCACATTTTGGTTATTTGATCTGTAACAGGATCTTCTTACAAGGAAACAAATCTGTTCATTGTTTCTGCTGGTAAACAGAAAGGACATCCACATGAGAACTTCTTGGAGCACTTGTAGATAAAAGTAAGGCCATGCAGTGGTATGGTTGCTCGTACCCAGTGAGAGCTGCTTGCGGGTACCATTGCAGTGTAGTGGCAGAGTTCCTCCTCCAGACAAGGGAGCTGTGCAGCAGGGCACAGGCCTGGGCTCACTCCAGTGGCCTACTGTGTGGATCACTAACACTGTGATGTACATCCTGTTCTGGTCAGGATCAGTACAGGTCCTCCGTGGTCCAGAAAATCTGGTAATCTGATGTATTAGGTGTACTTCGAAGCCAGCATGTTTGTCTAGGTTTTATGTGAGTTTTAATGAGAAATAATTTAATAAGTTGGCATATGCTTTTTTAGATATTTGCCTTGCGTTAGTAATAAAGAATGCTTAGGGCTTTACTGCTAACATGAGGAGCAGTAATAGTGTTTGTGAGGTAATAAGTAGATGAGGTGCTAACAGGAAGTAAAATGGAAAAATGGTAAATATGGGTTAGACTTAAAATATCCTATTCTAACATTTTAGCTAAGTATTTATTAAATATGTCTGTGTAGTAAGAAGTTTGTAGTTATTTTTTATATGTCTTTGGGCTGTTGCAGAGTATTTGTAGTGTTGCTTATCAGCACTCAGCAGACTTTAACTGGTATTTGTTGTGTTGTCTTTTCAAGTAGTTGCCTGTAATATTTCAAACTACCACAAAAGAGAGATGCAAATGTGTGTATTGTTAATAAGCAGAAAAATCCATTCTTTTTCATGTACATTGAGAAGAAAAATGCTGGGTTTTTTTAATCTACCATTTCATGTTACATTTCATGTTATAGTTCTTATACTAAAGTAAAGTTTTCTTATCTGATTTTGACTCAGATATCTTATCTGGGTTTGGCCTGTTAAAAGCAGGTGCTAGGTATTATTTCCAAGTCTTGTATGAAAATTTGCATGGTGTTCTATCTACATATGTACATACTGTCTCGTTGTAAGCTTAATCTTCTGATAGAAATTTGCTATGTGGTATATTTCAATATATTATTGTATAGCAAGTCTTCTAAACTCTGTTTTATAAACAATTAGATTTAAAACTTCCTGGCATGCTTTTGACTGAGCAATCTGAATACAATGCTTCTTCTAGTGAAATGTATCTTATAGAAAATGTATCTAACATATTTGCACAGACTGAAAATTCTTTACTTTTCTTCCTTCAGGATAAGAAATGGGTTCTCAATCATGAAGATGTCACTTTGGGAGAATTACTGGGCAAAGTAAGTAATGAAGGGAGTTAAATAACATTTAAATAAGTATATATTAATAGTTGAGCCATTTCCTGTTTGCCTTATCTTTTAAATTATTGGGGTACATGATTTTTGTATAAAATTACTTTAATACACAAGAGAGCATTGCGCTTTAAATAAATGTAAGTCACATTTACTGGTAAAAGGTATAATGTGTGTGCTGAAAGTATTTAACTGGCACACATATTTTTCTCTTCTGGAAGGCTTTTAGGCTATCTAGGTTTCTATAAAGCACAATGTGATTGTGTAGTCTTACAAAATGTTGCAAAATACAAAAATTGCAAAACCTAAATATATGCTTATGTATTTATGAAATTTATGGGTTTATGTATAAAATTTTATATAATGAGATTAAATCAATATTTATTAAAACAAATGTTCTCTGTTTTGTATGATTTATTGAATATTAGGTAACTTCACAATCGTATGTATAAAATTACTAATTGTATAATGTAGTTTATATCACAAATTCTGCTTCAGAGCTACAAGTCTTTAAAATCAGGTAAGCCCCACACCTCACTTACTTAAATTTTTATCACCTTTGCACCTGTAAAGGGGGTTCCGAGGGCCATGCTGGGCACAATGTTAAAAAGGATTTCCTAAAACTGAAAAATAAGCTTAATTGAAGAGGAGATAAATGAAAGCAGTAATTGCCACCTTACTTTGATACACACTAAAATAATTGATAAACTATTCATGAAATGGGGAGTTAAATACTATCAGAAAGTTGTGTTACCCGGGATAGAATCTTTTTGGCAGCATAGGATTACATAAAATATTATCTACTGGTAGACAGAACTGTGTCTGCGTGTGACAGCTTCACATTCTCGAACAGAATGGTATCAAGGGAGAAAAATTAAGATGTTTCAGGCATTAAAAATGCTTTGTCTTGCTAAAAATTAAATATGTATTAGTCTTGAGTAAAGACAGTTAAAGTAATCTGAAAATTTAGTAAACTGAATTTACATGCGCACTGCATATTTTTAGCACAAAACACTTTTAATGTTCAATAAAGACACCTCAGTGCTTAAAAGTGATTATAGAAGGATATATTTTTAAAAAAATCCAGAAAAAGATACAAACTTTCCTGGAATACAGCATAAATCTGTTATGTATCTATCACTAAAAAGATAGAGTCATACTGGAAAAGATAAGAATGACAGGACCATCGGCAAAATGACAAAATATTAAACTACAGCCATTCACCATGGAAGTGAGAAATCTGAGGGTGTCAAAATCTTGTGTGGCCTGAAAACTTAAGGAGGAAAATCATGAAAGCTTAATGCATAAGAGGATGCAAACTTCAGAAAAGGTGAAGATTTTCCTTCACGTTAGGAGTGAATGGTTTGCTTATTTACTCAGTATTAATTCTGTAGTACCTCACAAAATGAAAATTGTATGAAAGAAGTATGTTATATTAAAACAATGTATCTATGATATATCTGAAGGGGGCCTACCAGGATACTGGGGAGGGACTCTTCATTAGGGACTCTGGTGGTACAACAAAGGGTAACGGCTTTAAACTTAAACTGGGGAAGTTTAGGTTAGATGTAAGAAAGAAGTTCTTCAAAGTGAGGGTGGTGAGGCACTGGAATAGGTTGCCCAGGGAAACTGTGAATGCTCCAACCCTGGAGGTGTTCAAGGCCAGGCTGAGCAGAGCCTTGGGCAACATAGTTTAGTGTGCAGTGTTCCTGCTCATGGCAGGGAGGTTGGAACTAGATGATGTTAAGGTCCTTTCCAACCCTAACTATTCTATGATTCTGTAATAATTAAATATTTTGAATAAAGTAAAAAAAATCAAATAACCCAACATTTTCAGTACTTAAGCAGTCCTTAAGGTGTGTTCAGCTTTCACTGTTAAATACTTCTGACCAGAAGACTAGAAGAAAAATATGTTGGGAGTGGCTCAGCTTCTTACCTTCGGCCACATCGTGCCATTTTAGATATGGGAGACAGTGTCCTGGCCTTTAGAAGTGCTATTTAGAAGGGCAGATTGATGTCATAGATCCTATGCCTTGCTTGCCAGCTACATCTTCCTTTATCCTAGGTTATACTAAATAATACTGGAAACCTGTGTTTAGGCCTAAATTTCTTCCCTTGTTACTAGCAGCGCATTACTATTTTGCATCCATGAGTTTTTCTGTCTTCTTCCTTTGGCAATACCGTATTCCATTGAATGATGTAATGAAATCTTCATCACTCTCGAAAGGAAAGAAAACATTTTCAACAGAGTTTTATTGTTTTTTGAAGTTACTTGCAGTCCCAGATACCAGGACACAGAAGTGGAATTTATGTGGAATTTTATCAGATGCATGATTTAAATTAAGTTGTACTTACTCTTTGGGAAATGCAAAACTTTATTATAAGTTTGAGATGTTTAAGTTTGGGGTTTTTTTCCTTCTCTTGGATTATTTCATTGATGGCAGTGTTTTGTCATATACCCCATAATTTCCTTTTTCCTTCCATTTGTGTCCTAATTAATTTTCCTTTTGTTTTATTTAAGTAAATAGTACATCTGATGGAGATTATGGTCTTTATTACTTCAGTTTTTTTCTATGGGGAGAAAAAAAAAGAATCCAAACCAAAAAACTTACCTTTGGGATATGTTGTTGAAGACCTGAAAATTCTGATTATAAAAGGAGCTACTTCTAAAGTCTTGTCCAAACATATAGAGCTGTACTGAGCTTAGGTTTAAAAAAATGTGAATCATGTAACTTTCTCAGGGCAGACACGACAATACATTTTTTGCAGCGGCTTTAGTTTATGAATATCCAGTGGTTTCAGTTTTCTTGTATTGCATTTTTTTATTTCCTGTGTATGTGAGAATGTATATGTTATTATGATATGTTTTATCTTAGTTTCACAGATGATCTTTTGGTCACCTACAGACTGCAAGTTAAAAAGTGTTTATAAAATACGGTAGTGTGGAAATGAAAGAGTGCAGGAGTAAGAATAAAAAACTGCACTACTGTCAGTGTCTGTTGACTTTAGAAGTTACTTAGAAGTTTTATGAGAAAATTGTAATTATACAATTAATGTGTTTTTTGTCTTGCCAGCAAGGTCAAAGTAGAACCCATACACTGTGCCCATATAATAGATGTACTATGTCTGTGTGAACTATGTTGTGTTAGGGGCAAATACTGGAAGAAGACCTCATTTGGCTTCATAAATACATTTCAAAATTCTGTGCCAGTTATATTAGCTTTCTGAATTATTTTTGAGCAGTTTTGTGAAGATTGTCTTTATTTAGAAGATTTTTTTTTCCTGATTTCAGGGTAATTTTGGTGAGGTGTATAAGGGGACATTAAAAGATAAAACTCCTGTTGCTGTAAAAACTTGTAAAGAAGATCTTCCTCAGGAATTGAAAATAAAATTTCTGTCAGAAGCGAGGTAGGTTCTCTACATTTCATTGTAATGTGTACTTCTTGTGGGGGTTTTTTTCCAAGTTTTATTACTAGATGCATTTACAAAATCTGACCTTCAGAAAAATCCAAAGAAGCAGTAGTCAAACTTTTTCATTCCTTTCCCCCACCTCAGTATATTCCAGAACTGTTACCCTTGTAACTAAACATAGCATTTTAACATGTGAACGCAGTAGCGTCTGCACTTGCTGAAGCTACCTCTTTGGCAAAGCAAGCTATGCCTACAAAACACAATTTTGTTGTTTTAAGTGCTTCCATTTGGAACTTCTGAGATGTGCCATCTGCACATTTAATGAGATTATACCAATCATAAATCCTACTTTACATATGTGACTAGTAGAGCTGATCCAATGTGGCAAGGTTACTCAATAGAGCCTATTTAGTAATTTTCTTTGTAAGAAGAGTTCACTCCAGTAGAGATATTTTATGTTATGTCAGCCAGCATGTGATTGCATACTTATTTTTCAAATAATACTCATGCCACAATATGCTGAGTATTCTGAATGTAGCCTGATGTAGATAAGTAGATTCTGAGACCTCAGGGTAGAGGGGTATGTTGAGGTAGTTTCACAATTATTTAAATTAACTTTTTCACTCTTGCTGTGAAGCTTCATATGTTTTCATTTTTACTCCCAAACTCGTATGATCGATATGGAAAAGTAAAAGATACAATGCACATTTAGAGAACGAAGATCAGCCACCGTATCTATTGAATAACTTTAAATAGCTCAGAAGTTGGCACGTGCAGAGATGTTTCACTTGTTAAGCAGCCTGCCACTAGTGGAGCAGCATTAGTCTGAAATAAAATGAAACTTATTATTTCTCACTAAATATGTATGCACCAGGTAAGTTAGCATTTTACTCCAGAACCCAGAAATAAAAGAGGGAAAAAGATGTGGTTTAAGTCAACAAATAGTAGAAAACCCATTTAAGTTACTAGGTCTCTGTAGAATTCTTCCTTGCCCTTCATTTCACTTATAAATCATAGCATGCTGGTTTAGGCTGCAAATGTTATTATTAAATTATTGTGTAAGACAGTGTAAATTTTTTTAATTCCCAAAATTAAAATTGCTGTCCTTCTGAAACTTATTGTATTGATTAATCTCTGACAGTAAAATTGGAACGAATGTGCTTTTGAAAAGCGTAGCAGGGGAATGTAGAGGCATGGAAATGTAGAGGCATGCTGGGCATGCTTTTTTGATGTAGCTCTGCTTCTGGTCCACCACTGAAATGCTATTTAATTACAAGGGTTCTTGAGAAACTGCAAATCTGTCAGGCCATTATTCAGTAATATAGACAAATGTTATGCAAACAAATGGTAAACTTACAGTGTGCAATTTTTGATGTATTAGTGAGCCAGTATGCCCTCCATTTTAAACAGAATGATAATTGATCTGTTACATTAATTTTTTTTTCATTATGATAACAATAATGACATGGGTTTAAAATATTTTCCTGTATTATTCAATCAGTTTGTACAATAAAGTTAATAATGTACAATAAAGTTAAAATTAATATAATAAACTTACTGTATGTTTTGCAGAATACTCAAACAGTATGATCATCCTAATATTGTAAAACTTATAGGAGTTTGCACACAACGACAACCTATTTATATTGTTATGGAACTTGTTCCAGGTAATTTTTCCCCTTTTTTCAGCATATTTTGATAGGTATTTTTTCCATAATGTAAACCATATTGTTTTATATTTGCCTTTATCTCCATTCTTATGACTGATCTCAAAAGTTACCTGTCTTGCAAATGTTTGGAAGTACTAGGTTCTGCTAGTTTTGGAATGGAGCAAGCTCCACAAATCTGTTCTGAATTTCTCTGTAGGCATTGAAGACAACAGAATGTGCTGAAAGGTATCTCAGCTCTATCTTCATTGTCCTCCTGACAACATACTATATGGTTCTTCCTTTAACAATAAAGTTATGTAGTGAATGCTAAGATCCTTGTATTTAAAGAAACTTCGTGGCTGTGTAATGTTTTAATTTAATAACGTAGATTTGGATCATCTCTGGTAATATAAGAGGGTTTTTTTCTTTATCAGAATGTTCAGGATTTTTATTGTTCAGTTTATGAATAGCTTTTGATTTATCTTTGTAATCTTGAGTTCGTGTTATTCAGCAATGGCTGGAGAGAATTTCAAGTGTTGGGATGATAACAGCTTTTGGGCAATTTTACTGCTGTGTTGATTTTCTCAGCAGCTGGAAAATGCGTGAGCTTGGTAGCCTCTTGTACTGCTTAATATGCAACACTGTATTTGTTTTACGTATCACTGGATTTGTCTTCAAAATTATATAGCAACCTGTTTTAAGAAATCTTTCATTCGGGAAGACTTAGATTGTTTATAATTCTGGAATACTGGCTTTAGTACAAGAAGACTGATGAAATCTTTGGCCTATTGGAATTTTCTGCCTTTAGTCAATTAGATTATATTAGATTATTATATTTGTAAGTGTGATTAACTTAATTAAAATGGAGACTAAAAGCAATGTTCTGGGTTTGAAGACGTACTTTGGTAATTAGCTTCTCCAGACATCTCTGAAGATAAAAATAAATCCTGATCTTTTAACACCTTTATCATTCTGGTTCAGGGTTTTCAGAGCCTAGGACAAGCTGAAATAGTTGAAATATACTAATACAATTTGAGGAGGAATTAGTGAAAACGTTAGTCTGATTCTCATGCCTATTTTGCAGTCCAAGTCGATCAAAAGCTTTTGTGTCCTTGCTTTGAATTTGCAAGAAACTTCTTAATTCTTACCCTGTTTTGCTGGTCCACAAGTCGTCTGGCTAGCTTCTGTGCTTGCCTGTCTGCATAAACACTGTATTACGTTCAAGCCATTACACTTTTCCATATTCTTTTACACCTTTGCTAGCACACCATGAGACTGACCAAATCAGCTATGATAAGGAACTCTGAAGAAATGGGCAGAGGAAAGGTAAAACACATGACTTCAGAGAAGCAGTGATTCTGATGTTACTGGTTTTCTGTTTTCTAATGGCAAGTTTGGGTGAGATTTCTTCAATAATTACTAGTGCTCTGATTTGGTATTTAATGCTGTCCTTTGAAGAACAAAATAGCGGTAGGCTTGTTGACTTGCACTCAACAAAACTTCTTCAGTATCTGCTTTGTTTGTGTTTTGTCTTAAATGTGTTTATGCTTTAAGGGTTTTAAGCACTGACATTCTTTTGAGTAACTAAAAATGTCATGGTTTAGCTTAGAATTGTATTCTATAAATATATGGCTGAGAACACCTGTAATTAATAAATGTCTGACAGTTTTTTCCATGAGGATAAAATCAGAAACATCTCCATAAGATGTGGATTTTTTCTTGTGTTTTCTGTTCTGTTTAATGCTTGCACTTCTTCTACTGTTTTTATATCCCAAATACATGTAGGCTATATACTTACTGTACTATACAGGCTGGTATGGTGTGGCTCAGTAGCACTATTTCTGCTTGTCACTCCAGATTCAGATTTCAGTTCAGATTCTTAATTTGTTCAGGTATTAAAAATGTATTTTGAAACTTAGCACTTTATTTAGATAGGTGCTACTCAATTAGTGATTCTATCATAAGGTATCTCTGCAGAGGAGTCTTTTTTCTTTGTTGCAAATGTAAATGGGTTTAAAAACTATGCATCTGGATAAAGTCATCAATGAAAACAATAGAGAAGGTGGCAGATGCATATTTAAGCATCTGTGCATCTGCTGTTAAATGCAAAAATAGCCCAGATATTGCCAGCAGATAACAGAGAAATAAAGCAAATTGTCAAAGACAATTATACTTTATCAGTCCCTTTTCTTGGTGTGCGCGTTAACAAGGGACATGTGTCCTAAAGTAATAATCACATAAAGAAATTTCAAGGTAGGTGATGTAGGAAGGTTTAACTGAAATAGTAAATAAGGTAGCAAAGCATGTTGCAGATACATAGCCAAAGTGAACAGGTAGATGAGAAATTATATATGTTAATGAAAAAGAACTATCAATTACTATTCACTTACTTGCTGTTGGCCATACTGCTCTCACTGTATATGTCCACCCTGTGCTAATCCATCATAGATTACTCCAGTACTCCAGAAAGACCCTGTTATCTCTTTCTCAGTCCACCACCTGTAAAGAAACGAGGGTAATATCTCAATGTCATGTATGTGTGTTTTATATAAATTCGCTTTAAGGAATGCATATGTGGAAAAATATATCCCATCTCCCTGTCATCAAGGTGTTACTAGGGCCAGGCCTCTTCTCAGTCTTGTCCTGCAGGTCTTTCTGCAGGGACTTCTACAGGTGAGAAGGGAAGGAACAGAATGTGGCATCTTTTCTTGTAGTAGGTTGGGATGAGGTTGCTCTGGTCCTTCTAGTTTCTCAGATAACATCTATAGAAAGCAATAGTCCTTTAAATTGAGAAAGGAGAAGGTCTGAAAAGACATAACTGTATTTTTATGATGATCCTCTTGATGATGACATGGACTTAGAATGCTTTATCAACTACATTGAAGATACAGCAGTAAGAGTCCTAATAGCTATGCATGATTTTTATATCAAGTTAAGAGACTTTAGTAATCTGGTGAAATATAATTTTTTCTGAAGAAGAAACATATATATATATATGTATGTCATATATGTTATATATATGACATATATAACGAATACTTTAAGAAATACATGTTTTACAGTTTCTAATAAAATATGCCCAACAACCATCACAGGATAAGCTTCTTTCTTACATTTTGAAGAATGTATATCAGGCAACATGCAATTTAATGTAGGAAAAAAAGCTACTGGAATTATTTTAAAGAGCTGAGTTCTCCTGTTTTCCAGGTAAGCAACTGTAATATTGCCCTCGTAAAGGTATATAATAGTTTCTTTGAATACAACTGGTTCTTATTCTTTCTGACATACATACCACAAATAAAAATTTCAGTAAGCTGTGGTGGCTACTTACTACCAAGAAACTCCCAGTCAGTGTTCTAAACAGTGTTATTTGGGAGCTATGTGCTCTATTTTGTGTAGGACAATATTTATTTATTGTTTAATTTAGATTTTTTTATTGCTTAATAAAGCTATTCTCGTAACTGATTAAAAAATAATTAAAATATTCCCTGTCTTATATAAACAGAAGCTAAAATGGGTGTAGCTACAAGGATGTCCTTCATATATACATGGAAAGTTAAATATATAGAAGGGATGTGATGTAAGATTGTGATTCAGAAATTTACTGTGAGAGTTACCAAAATATAAAATCTAAGATTTTTGAAATCCCAAGCAAATTTTTCTCCCTCTCCTCCCCTCAGTATCAGAAATTCATCGAGAGCCATTGAAATTGAGTCAATGAGTCTTTAATTTTTTTCTTACAAATGTTTTAACAGAGATGTATAGAAAAATCTTAATTGCAGGCTTAAGTTATGGTAGCTATCTGCTCTGAAAAAGCAATTTAGCAAAGCAGATGGTTTCAAAATGTTCATTTGTGACTGCATAATGGATACATTTGTATTAACTTTTAAAGCATTCTTACAAATAATTTTATTCTTTTTTTACCTAAATGACTTTTGGACACTGGGTCCAGACCCTTACAAGGGCCCTGTGCTGAAGCTGCTGCGTGGCTTCTCAACTACTATGTAATAAAAATTAGCCTGAGTTTTACAGTGTCATAGGTTTTTTCTGTGAATTTTTTAGTAGACTTAAGAACTGAGAAAATAAGTCTTTTTGAAATAATCTTTGTATTACAACATTTGTTAATGGAGAACATATCAGAGAGATTTCTTCTTCTTTGGTAGTTATGACTCTTTCTCAATGACAACCGTAACTACCAATTTGAAAATATTAAGACTGTTAGAGAAAATGAGGAGCACAACACCCATGCATTTGTATACTGATTTTTTGCATTTGTTTTGTGTTCCTAATAGAGGTTGGACTTCTGTTTCTCCTTTGCTGTGCACTTACCTTTGCTCGTATTTTCTGATTTCATATTGCTAGCTTCTACTCTTCATATTCTATTACAACTCTTAATTCAGGATGGGCCTGAACAATGCATATGCACGTGCCCTCACTTGTTAAGTCAGATATACTGGTTTCTAGATGCATAGACTCAAGTAATCTCAGCTCCCCCTGGGCACATGGTGTGATGTCCTGAGCCAGAGAGCATATGAATTTGTTGAGCATTTGCTGATAATCTGCACAGCATATGCACAGGAAGTGGGTTGCATCCAGTGGAGGATTGTGTTTTAATAGTAAAACATTATTAAGGGAAGGAGCTTGTGAACTTGATCTATGACCCTGAGATTTGCCTTACAGCAGTACTTGGAGACAATACAGTGGGTGAAGTCTCCCTACTGATTCTGATGTCAGTAAGGCTACTGAATGGACAGAAACAGTATTTGACTGCCTGTTTCTTCTTCTGTCTCTACTGCCCAAGAACAGATTTCAGATGCTGTGTTAGCACAAAGCTAATGAGAACTCCATGACAGTGAACTCAATCGTACTGAAATTGCAATATCATGCCTTGAACATTAAATCCTGTGTTGAAGAAGTAGAATGATTCAGATCAGCTCCAGAAAAAGTAGAGTACAAGTTTCAACTTGATGTATACTGCCCAAGGTTTTCATACCTTTCAAAATTCTGCTTAGAAAAAA